TATATATATATATATATATATATATATATATATATATTATATATATATCTATATATATATATATCTATATATATATATATATATATATATATATATATATATATATATATATATATATATATATATATATATATATATATATATATATATATATATATATATATATATACATACATACATTATGTATATATATATACATTATATTTATATACATGTTTATATATATGTACATTATGTATATATATATATGTACATTATGTATATATATATATATATATATATATGTACATTATGTATATATATATACATTATATATATATATATATATATATATATATATATATATATATATATATATATATATATATATATATATATATATATATATATATATATATATATATATTATATATATATATATATATATATATATATATGAAGAACTCAGTGAAAAAACTAGCATTTTTACATTTTAAAAGTTTTGTGAAAATATTTATTGATCATTAATAAAAGTCTTTATATAAAGCAAAAAAAGAAACAATTTCTATTAAAAATTTTAAAAACTTTATTTTTAATTAAACTTTATAAATAATAATAAATAAATAAATCAAAACATAATAATTTTTTACTCATCTTTAGTTTTCTTTACTTTATATAAAGACTTTTATTAATGAGCAATTGAATCTTTCCCAAAAATTTTTAAATTTGACAACCCCAGTTTTTCCACTGAGGTCTTCATATATATATATATATATATATATATATATATATATATATATATATATATATATATATATATATATATATATATGCTTTTTTATAAAAAATATATAAATAATAAAATTAAGTTTGGCACATATAAAAATTTAAATGATTTTAAAGATTGCAAAATTATTAAAAAAGAATGTTAAAGAATTTATTACATATACACAAAATTGAATTTACATATATTTTATGTATTTATTATTGTATATGAACAATACTATATAATATCAGCGTAGAAAATAAGAAGGCCTTCAATTAAATCATCACATGGAATTGATGGTCAATTGTTTTCCTGGACAGTCAAAATATTTTTCAAATTTTATGTTCTTGACTGATCTTTATATTAGTAATAGTTGTTCATGACTGATTTTTATATTAGTAATAGTTCTTCATGACTGATCTTTATACAAAAATAACCTAATGCTTGAAAATTAACAAATTTGTATTTGTTTTAAAATGATAATTTTGAATAAAATCAATGTATTTTTTAAATGGAAACTTACAAATAACTAACATTCAAATTACCTGCTAATTTTAAGAGTTTAAAATAACTCTCACATGCACAGATTTTTCATACAGTTAAAAAGAAAGTTTCATAGCATTTAACTTAATTAACTAATTTTATTTTAAATTTGTTGAATTTTTCTTTTTAATATTATAACAATTTTCATAAAATATTTATAAAATTTAAACTGAATAATTAAAATTACAAGAATTATTTTTATGAAATGAAAAATAAAAGTGTTATTTGTCTCTTTTTTATGAAATACTGAAAAATGAAAGTGTTGTTTGTCTCTTTTTTATGAAATGTTACTAAAAAATATAAGTGTTGTTGGTCTCTTTTTAGTCCTCTCCATTTTGATGTTTGATGATTCTATTACAAAAAAAAGTGTAAACGTGCAATTGGTAATTTTAAATTTATTTAAAAATAATTTATTCATTGCAATGACTTTACAAATAGTGTGAAAAGCTAAGAAAAAAATAAGTGAAAGATTAAATGAAAAAGTTTGAAAAGAAATTCTTTTTTTTCATAAATGAATGAAGTAATTATTTTAATAAAAATAAATTAAATATTTTTATTAAAATTATTAATAGCATAAGAACTTCAACCATTTATGAAAAAAAGATTTTTACCACCAGTATAATAAAAAGTAATCTATATAAGTGAAGACAAAAAAATTATTAGATATAGTTTATGCCTTATAACATTTGCCAACAAAGCAAATTAAAGGAGCATACCAACAATAATTCAATAATTAAAGGAGCATACCAACAATAATTCAATAATTAAAGGAGCATTACCAACAATAATTCATTTTGGGAGGTCAAAGTAGCAATATTAGTTATTTTAGGCGCTCATTGACCATTGACTGGCATTAATACATACATTAAATGAGCAATTAGGTTTAGAAAAAAAATACTTATTTATAAAAAATACTTAAAAAAAGAAAACATTTTAAAATTTATAATAGCCACACAAAAACATGCTTAACATAGCATTAGCAGCAAATTAAAAAGTGAAATTGAAAAAAAAATTAAATAAATAAAAAAGCTACCTGTAACAACAGAGATAATAAAACTGATATACTCTTCAATTCTTATGGAAGGGGATTTTTTCTTTATACTAAAAAAATGTTACACGTGTGTAATAAATTTATTATGCAAAAACAACCAACATATTTCCAAAGTGGAAAATAAGAAACCGAAGGTAATGGATCAATTTAACCAGATAACACATGGAACTGACAATCAATTATTTTTCTTGGGCAGTCAAAATTTTTATTTTTTTCTTTGTTTAAGTTTTCATCTGAGTAATAGTTGACTGAAACTAAACACACGAAAATAACTTAATGCTCAAAAATTAGCAAACTTCTTTTTAAAATAATTAGCAAAAATCTTTTTAAAATAATAATTTAAAATAAAATCAATGCATTTTTAAAATTTAAACTCGCAATAACTAACATTCAAAATTATCTGTAAATTTTAATTTGTTTAAATAAACGCTACCGCACACAGATTTTCAGTCAATTTAAAAAAAACTTTTGATAATATCTAAGTAATTTAATTTTTAATTTTTTTTTAAATATCAAAACATTTTTTTGTACAAAATTAAAAAAAACTTAAACTGAATACTTAATACTAAAAGAAATCATTTTATGAAATACTACTGAAAAACTGGTAAATAAAAGTTTGTCTCTTGTTATTTGCTTCCATTAAGATGGGTTGATGTTTGATGATTGTATTACTTTACAATTTAATAATAGAAAAAAAAAATCCAAACATGCAATCGATAGTTAATTTAGGAATTGAACTATTTTTATTGAAATAAATTGAAAAATAATACATTCATTGCAAAGTCTTCCGCTTCTTATTGGCAGGAAAAAGCTACGAAAAAAATAATTAAAAAGATTAAATAGTAAAAAAAAAAGTCTAGTTGGAAAAGAAAATGTTCTTAGTTACATACAAAAATTGTAATTTTATATCTCTGATTTTAATGAGCTGAGAAAATATTTTTTTTAACTCTGCTCATTTTAAAAACTGCTAAATAAATACTAACTAAAATTGAAATAAAATTTCAATTTTAATTTCAATTTTAATTTCTATAAAAAAAGGTCTGGTATTTAATCCTGGACATGCTTAGTACCATTATTGTTTTCATTTATGATTATTATTAGTTAGTTTTTTTATGACCTTCATTGGTTACACTTTTCATTTACATTGGTTACTCAAAACCTTTATTGCTTTCACTGTTAATGGACCATAAGATTTCCATTATCAATGATTCAACACAAAAAAATCATGTTTAAATTCAATGTAAAAAAAAAAAAAAAAAATGTTAGAAAAAAATTTTATAAGGGGATTTTTAAAATTGTTGTTATCAGATTTTGTTAGCAGTTTTTTAATTTAGAATACTCATTTTGATTTTTGATTTTTTTCTAAAAAAATCTGAAATTTTGAAAAGTTAGCTTTCATTTTTGGAAAAGTTATGTATTTGAAAGGTTGTTTCAAAACCCAAGTTTATATTTGTAAACTTTATTTAGTCATACATTAATTTTTAAAAACATTTCAAGACCTTACATATACTAACATTTAAAATTAAATTGTTTTAAAATTTAAATTAAATTAATTTAAAATATTAATTTAAAATTGTATTGTTAAAATTTTATCAGTTTTATTTTTTTTATCAATTTCATCAAAATTTTATTTATGAGTAAAACATTAATAACATAATTATGAAAAAAAAATTTCTTTTTTTTTGGCTCTTGAATAAACATTTTTCAAGTGTGTTGAAAAAAATATTTTTCAGGAAAAATAATTTTTTTGGATAAATTTTACAGACTGAAAAAATTGCTTAGATTCATTTATAACTCATTTATTTCACAATTGATCTACACCGATACCTTCTACATTTATTTCTTCATCCTATGAATACCTCAACATTTTTAATACTATCAGTGCATCATTTTTTATTTTAATGTTATATTATGTTAAAAGTATTGTCGTTTATATACAGTCATAACCAAGAACAGTTGAAAAATAAATATAAAGAAAAATAAATAATAACAATAAACAATATAATAATAATAAAAATAACAATAATAATAAAAAGTGACAATCAGTGACAAAAATTTGCGTACCTATAGCCGGATTTTTTCAATACCTAAATTCAAGACCCCAGACTTGTCTAAGACTGTCCTAGGGCCACTAGCTATTATACCTAGTGTTGCTCATTAAAAAATAGGTTTAACTCCATAATAAATTGATGACAAAGATAAAATAATTATTTAATCTTCGATTGTTTTCAACAAATTTATTTTAATTTTGTGTTACTTAATTGCAACACAAAATTAACTAATAGTTCTGAGCAAAATTGACAAATAAGTCTACACTTAAAATGGCAGCCCCAAAACAACAACAAGAAAAAAAAAATTCTGCACCAACCAAAACTCAACAATCTATCTCGTTATCAAACAAAGTCTTTATGCATATATGGCCCTAGGTAGAAGCAAACTAAACTGCTCTAGGTACAAGAAATGATAGCCTTATGAAAAATGTCATCTATTAACAAACCCAGATTGAGAGAAAACTTATTGAACATCGCATTTAGTACTTAGGTAACAAAAGTAACAATACAATATACAAAAACTTATAGAAAAGCTAGGATTTTTTCTCTAGGATTGTAAAATAATCTAATATATCAGCAGCAGAAATTTATTTTAGATCATTAAAAAGCATTTTTCAATTATAACTTTCCCTAGAAATGCTCTCTGAGAATCAAAATAGGATTAAAAAATTAATATTTTTGTAACAAAATTATGACTGAAAAGCATTACTTGAAACTTTATAGTTTTCAAAAAAAGTGGCATAGCCATAGGTACATAAACTTCCTCTACTCAAACAAAAAAAATACAGCAAAAATAAAATACAAAAATTGAAACAATATTAAAAAACATGGTTAGGCTGACTTTAAATTTCTATGCCAACTATACTCAATAAACAAGGCGATATAGAATTAAAAGAATTGCCAAATAAAATCTCAAAATAATGATTGTGCTTGAATGGCAAAGTAATTACATATCATTGTTTTTAAAACTCCATATTTTCATTATTTTTAATATTTTCATTTTTTTTTATCTTTTAATATGTATTGTATTGAAAGCTGTTTTTTATTAGATATTTATACTTTGTTTTTACTTTAGAAAAAAATTTGTATGAAAAAAAAACAACTAAGTAGTTAGAAAACTCAAATATAAAACAACATTAAATTAATGAATTTTATTTGCGTCATTATTTTAGAAACACATAAACAGTAGCAGGGGGTAAAATCTGCAGAGCAATAAATATATTGTAAAAAAAATAATTAACTGACAAACAATTTTTGCTTTTAAGTATTTAATGGAGTAAGAGACTAGACCTAATCCCATTTTGCCAGCTTTTATAATTATGTATTTATTATGCTTTTGGAAACATTGAAAATAATCCATTTTATAAACTTATCTCAATTTATAATTTAAATACTTTATTTAAAACATTCTTTAAAAAAATTTCTCACCATAAAGAGAGAACGGATATAATGTATTTCTTTAAAACAATTGAAATTCGATTATCATTACAAAGTGAAGTCAAATTCTTCAACAAGTTTAATGGAACTTCAAATAAGCCATAAACAAGTTCAATTGCTGTCATCTGGGTTACAGAGGATGCATGCACAAATAGACCACCATTTGGTTCTACAAATCAAAACAAGAAATTTATCAATATCACAGAAAACTATCAATAGCACTGAAAAATAAAAAAAAAAAAACAAATGATCATAAATTTTTTAAATACATTTAATACAAATGCATACTCAGGGGGTATTGCACTTAGATTAAATCAAAAAAAAAAAACTTGTGTGGAAACAGTTTATTTAATAACACTGAAAAATAAAAATAAAAACAATGATTATAAATTTATTAAAATATTTATTACAAATCAGGGGGTATAGTACGTAGAATAACTCACAAAAAAAACTTGTGTGGGAACAGATTAAACAGTTTATTTAACACAAAACACCTGTAAATTTAGTCAGTGCTTCTATAGTAAAAACTCTTGTTTTTTCATTGATATTTCCAATTATGAAAAAATCTTTTATAAATTTTACACATTCCTGAACCAAATTGCAATAAGCTAATCCAGATGGTAACATACATAGATTATCCACAACTAAGTCAACAAAAGATACCAGAATATAATCACATTTATTTTTCTCTCTAGATAAAAAAAAACTTATTCAGTCAAATATTAAATTACTGTTACACAAAATTTTGTCAAAATTTAAAAATCAAATATCACAAAACTATTTTAACACTTCAAAGATATGTGACAATAATAATGTTTCCGTGATTCTGGAATATTGCTATTAGAGATGAAACTTATTTTTTTGGTTCTTGTTTTTTTAATCATTTTTTTTGGAAATAAATAAAAATTCAAGCTACTAAATTTAAATTTAATGATAATACCTTTAATCATATTTTAATGATAATATCTTTAATCATATTTTAATGATAATATATTTTACTTTAACTTCATATTAAAATAGGACAATCAAGACTGAAATTGACAAAAACTCTTTTAATTAAATAAACATTAAATAAATTTTGTAAAAAAATTCAATTTAAAAACTTGTTATAATACTCAATTTGAAGACAATGCACAGTGAAGACAATGCACAGTGAAGACAATGCACAGTGAAGACAATGCACAGTGGGCCGGATATTAGACATAAGGTGGACAAAATTATTTTGATCTTTTTTTTTTTTTTTTACCAAAACCCTTTATATGTCCGAAGAATCACTTTGTATTAAAATATATTTACTTTTATTATAAACTTTAGTTAAATAGTTGCTAATACTAAAAATTATTTAAAAAATTTATATATTTTTTATTTCAAATTCTACCTTTTTAAAATCGTGGAAGTGAATAAGAAACTCTTCTGGTGGAATAAACTTAAAAAAAATTGATGCAACAAACTTTTAAAATAAAAATGCTCTTTTACTTTATAAAAAATGAAAATTTATCACTAGATTTGAAACTCTATTATCGATATTATTATATAATAGATTTGAAATATATATAGATAAACATATAGAAATAGAAATATAAAATATAGAAAATATAAATAAGTATATAGATCTCTATTATCGATATTATCATATGTCCACGGCGTTTTGAATAAGCCTGTAGATTATTTATCATCTCTATATATAATAATGTATTTTTTCTACTTTTAATCTATTGGCCGCACAGTCTGGATGAATAATATTACAACATTTTTATTATTATAAAGTCTACTGAGTTCTAAAGGTACAATGCAAATAATCAAAAGACACTCTTCATTCGTCACTATTTTTATTTTAACTTACCTTTTTGTAAACACTATATCCTGTAGCACCATCAAAACCAGCCTAGCATCTAAATGTAAGTTTAGTTAATTCCTTAGCATTGTGATTAGCACAATAGTCGGTATACCACATAGCTTTTTAAGAGTGTGTTTTAAAAGGCCTTTTAGCATTATTTGTACTGAATAGCCATTTATTTGAATGTTCTTGGGATAGCATTTAGCTTTTGAAGATCTTATACTATTATATAAAGGATATATGTGGCCTTTTTTTTCGGCACCATTTCTTAGAAGCTGCTATGTTGATTTTAATAAACCACCATTAATAATTAATGCTCAGGTAAATATATCTAAGCAGGTTTAATGGGGTTTTTATTTCGAATTTTCAGAAATATTTGTGCCAGTTTTGTACTTGAACTCACTCCTTAGTTTGTTGCATGAAGCAATTTATGGCTAAATAAAATATTAATAACATTGTAAAGGTTATTCCTTTTATTCTATTACAAGCTTTTTCAAAAGAGCAACATGGTTTCCAAACTACATTAACTAATGATGTAGCATTTAATGTACCGTAGGTGTATTAAAAATCTTTAGCAAGCTAATTTTAATTTCTTCTTCTAAAATGAGTAATATCATTGTTTGCAGCTATCAACTTTTTACATTATAATTTTATAAATTTTTTCACTCAGAATCCTCTAGTTTAATATCTGCAGAAACTAGAACAGTTAATTTCGAAGAAAACAATGGTATATCATTATCAAAAAAAAAAAAAGGTAAACAATGCAATTTAAATTGAATTAAATAACAAACAAAATAACAAGTATTTTTATTTACGAGAAATAAAAGTTGATTTCAAGCAAATAACATAAAATACAAATCATTATGTTAAAGAAACCAAAAGGGGAAGTTGGGGGCAATTTATATAGTTCAAATAGGTTGTCTACATATTAAATTTACAAGTTCAAGTACTTAATATAGTTTCTCATAGGTTCCCTAAAGTATGTGATACTTTTTGTACAAAATAAAAGTATTAAATTTTAAAAATTTACCTTGTTATTCTAAAGCCAGATTATAAGTGTATTATAAAGACTGATCTTTACTTTATATTTTTTTCGTAAAGCTTTACGTTTTTGTAAAGCTTTGTTAAATAGTTTAAATTAATAATAACTCAATCGCCAATGAAAAAACTAACAATATGACAATTACTTGCAGCGTTCCTCAAGGATCTATATTAGGACCACTTTTATTTTTAATCTATATTAATGCTTTAAGCAAAGCTTCTAATATACTAGATTCTTATTTGCTTCTAATATTTTATTTTAAACTTTATTAACTAATAATATTCATTACTCTATAACAATATCAAAATTGGGTAACCATATTCAAATGCCAACTATAACACTTATTTAGGTCTACATAGCTCCATTCATCTGCTAACTCATCCAACTTATCTAAAACATCCACTTATATGCGTATATATACTTATCTAAATTATATATGCATATATATACTTATCTTATTTTATATTACTTATATGCATATATTACTTATATGCATATATATATGCATATATTACTTATATGCATATATATATATATGCTATATTACTTATATGCATATATATACTTATCTAAAACATCCACTTATATGCGTTGGCATATAAGTGGCTGAATATTGCATACTTTTTAGGTTTTGTCCAGCACCTGGCCCACTGTGCAATGGAATGTATGAATAAGTTGTTTTTTTGAAAGATTTTAAAACATCCATAATAATTTAAGTTAACTTTTGTTTATTTGGCAATTATGAGTTTTTGACAAAATTAAAATTTCAATCTTTATAACAATTAAAAAAATAATTTAATAGTAACATTTTTTTAATAGTTTTTTAAAAATTTAGTCAATTTTTAAGTCAATTTTAATTTTTGAAAGACTTTTGATCTTTAGCTCGCTATTTTATTTCAGGTTAGAAAAACAAAAAAATATTCAGTCATAGTAACATTTAATTTATTTAATTTTTAATTTTTTTTAGTTAAAACTAAGTCTAAAAAAAGTTTTAAAAAGTTTAAAAAAGTTTAAAAAAGTTTAAAAAAAGTCTTAGTAACATTTAATTTTTGAAAGACTTTTAATCTTTTGCTTGCTATTTTGATCTTTTGCTTGCCAGGTTAGGAAAACGAAAAAATGAAACAAAAACTTCTTCAGAAAGTTGTATTTCTTTTCCATATTCTTTTTGACATTAATAATAATAAAAATAATAATTACAGTAACTTAATAAAAGTTTTGGTAAGAATTAGTTATTATTAAATTTTATTATTATGAAAATTACAAAAAATCCATAGAAAAAGTAGAGTGTTGAGAATTACAAAACACATAAATTTTCATTGGCTGCATCAAATTACACGAAAATTCTATTATTTATAGCTTTTGATTAGACATTTAATAAATAAAAAAGTTTAATAGCCAACATGGTCATATTTTCATCTCATTGACATTGTTAAATTTTTTAAAACTGATATAGGAATCTCATCTCACTCCATGGTCATATACTATTCTAATTCCTCAATACTATTTGGCATATGCTTTTCTGCATTTGATAATTTATTTTTTTATTTAAAAGACCCCTCAAAGCAAAAATAAAATTATAAAACTTGACTAAAAAATAAATGAAAAGATTCTCTAAATTTTAAATCAAATTAAAAATTAAAATAATAGTTAACTTACTACTTTTTTTTTCAACATCTTTATTTCCAACAAGGCTGCAAGCAATCATTCTTATCACTATTAGAGTTGGAAGATACTGGAAGAGAAAAGATGAAGTTTATAAAGCAAGATAACAATTAACAGACGAGTTAAAAGATTACAAATTATGTGAATCAGGGAAACAAGATGAAGGGAGTGAATTCCAAAGAACTGATGTTTTTTGGAACTTCATAGATGTTCAAGGAAAAAAACTAGACGAATATGAATTTTTGGAGCACTTAGGAATAGTAGTAAAAGTCACACTAAAAGGATCAGACTTAATTGAATGACAAGTAACACAAGAATGAATTTTAGTAGGTGGCACAAGAGACGCTAGCTCTTTAGAGCAGTGTCGATTATAATATTTTTAGAATATTTTTAGATGCAACCTTGGCAGATGCTAATTTTGCAATGGATTTGATGTGTGGTTTCCAAGAAAAATTGGAAGTAAGAGTTAATCCTAGTAGAAAGAGGGTAGATGACTCATTGAGTTCATTGCCGTTCATAAATATATATGAATATCTAGATTGTTTTATCTGAGTTAAAGTCCACCAGCCACTGAGAGCCCCATTCTGTAGCAAAATTAAAATCCTTTTCAAGCTCAAATTCCTCCTCCAAGCAATCAGAGAGTATTAGCTCCTTATCAAAATAAGAATAAATGGTAATACTGTCAGCAAACAATGCCACCTTTGATATAAGAACTTTTAGGATGTTCTTATATCTTGGTCCTATACTCTTTAATTTACATTCGTTGTAAATTAAAGAGTATAGGACCAAGGATTGAACTTTGAGGAACTTCTGAAGTTACAGGATATGAAAAACGCTTTTTTACTACAATTGGTAAGGAAGGATTCAATAATCTTAAAGATGTTTCTAGATACACTGTAAGAAGAAAGCTAATGGGGAAGACCAGCATGCCAAACTTCATAAAAAGCTTTAGAAATGTTACTAATGCACAATAAAATCAATTGGTTATTACTGTTAACAAGTCAGCAAAAGATTGAGAAGACCAAAATCCATATTGATGATCAGAAAGTTATTAGATTCAAGATGAGAGATTAAGTGTTTGTTAATTAAAGACCTTGCTTACAATAGTAAGAAGACTAATGGGACGGTTGTTAGACAAGTCAGGTTGCTATCCAGAATTTTTGAAAATATGGATAACAGATGCTGCTTTTCGGCAGGCTGGAAACAAGACTCTGATAAGCACTTGTTAAAAAGTTTTGAAAGTATAGATGACAGCTCTGGAGAACACTTTTTCAAAACTTTAATAGGTATGTATGTCTGGACCACAAGCTGCAGAAGAGTCTAAACAAGAAATCACTTTAGATACAGAATATGTAGATATAAGAACATCAAGCAATAAATTAACCTATTAGTTTGCTATATCAGGTAGAACACAACAAGCGGAATTAAAAAATAATATTGATGAGAAGTTCTTAGTAAATAATTCATCTTTGTCTTTAGGTAAGGTGACAAAATCTGAGCCATACGAAAGAGGTGAAATAAAAGATTTGACCTTTTTATAGATACTGTTAAAGATTCTCCAGAAGTCATGAGAGACAAATTTTTAAAATAAAATACGAGATTTTGTGACCTGAGAATAGCTGGGCTTTGGCGTTAGACAAAACCTTTTTAAAATGGTTTCTAGCAGTAGTAAACAGACGTCTGTTTTCTGGAGAATTGTTTTGCTGATATATTTGAAAGTAATGGTTACGAAAACCATGGAGAAGAGTGAGGCTTGGCTTGGAATCAGTGAAAAGGAGTAAAAGTTTCCATACCAGAATCCAAGAAATTACATAAGAAGCACATTTGTTAGCAGGACAAAAAATTGCTACCTAAGGGCCATCACAAAAAAAATTGAAAAGAGTGAGAAAAAAATAGAACAAAGAGAAAGACAATAGGGTGAAGTGGTGCTAAATGAAAGCACATAAAAAAATAGACTGTGGATTCAAACCTAGTTTCTTAACGAATGGGTAAACTTTTACAAATACAAATGCCCAGGCTAAGCATATGACTATTGGAGTCTTTACGAAATAAAGGAGGGTAACCATCAACAATAAGATCACAAGATGAGACAGCTGAACTCAAATTATTCTCACAAAGAGCAAGTAGGCCTGGTGATCTTTGCAAGATATAAGACTCAACAGAAGAAAATTAACTTTGAAGACCATGAATATTAGTGAAAGATAGATTTAGAGAACTTGGTGATGACAATGGTTTTTTGTGTTTTATAGTCCTAAGATCTGTAAAACTGAGTTTTAGAACTGCACCCTTATTAGGAGATAATAGAATGAGTTGCCTAGTCTTAAAAACAGAGACGCAAGCAAAACCTAAGCATAAAGTCAAGAAGATCTAGCATTCAACATCCTAAACTGGAAACAATGTATTACATGAACAATCTAGGACATGAAACAGGTTGTACTGGTTTACATGTTACCAGTAGCAAGATAAGTTGACTGGACATATGACTAGTTATGTTTATTAAACACCTATGTTCTTTATTCAAATGGTTATTGTCGATATAATATATAGTATATTATTATATATAATTTATTAGATAATATATATTAATATTATATATAGACAATAACTATTCAAATACAAGATTTCTGTTATGTTAACTTTGCAAATACTACATGATTTGCGAATATTGATTAAAAGTTGTATTTAAAACATTTAAAAACTTATAAAAGTAAAATTACTAAAATACAGATACTAAATGTTTAATAAAAATTTTCTAAATTTTTAATATGGCGTAGGATTCGCAACTTAAACGTTTATTAAAATCTTAAATAAATATCTTAGCATAACTAAAGTGATATGCACCATGTCCACCCATAAATTTATGTATTCAAAGAAACACCTTTTACAAACAGGTACTATTTTAAATCAACTCCTTATCTTCAGATAAAATTTAATAAATTAAACATAAACAAAATCACAGCTATTTAAAAATAACAAAATCATATATATATATATATATATATATATATATATATATATATATATATATATATATATATATATATATATATATATATATATATATATATATATATATATATATATTAAATTAGATATATATATCTTTAAAGAAGCCATTAAAAAGTGACGTTACCGTTTATTTGTAATTGAATATAATTAATAATTTGTAATTAAAGCTGAAAATGATTTAATTTGATTTTCGAATATTGATTCAAAATTGATTAGTATCAGTTATCTAGCGAAAATTTCTTAGATTAACTAAAAAAATTAGTATTGAGAGATTCATATTTATTGATCTTCATATATTAAATTTATTCAACTCTCATACAAGATGTTGTCATTTTAAATTTATTTCACAGCTAAATACAGAGCTGAACTTTATAAAGAAGCAAAAAAAATTACAACAAGCAAAAACAAATATGGCAAAATCAAAGAATCAATATATCTTACTTCAAAAATGTAAAACATAAATTAATACCAAAATCGCTTTGAGTTGTAAATCCAATAAATAACAATATATACAATAATAAATAACTATATATACATATATATAACTATATATACAATAAATGTATATCCAATAAAGAGGAAAAGACATAACAAAAAGGTACCGTTTTGAATTACTAATATACATTAAAAACGATTCTAGAACTTGTTATTTTAATCAAACAAAATTTGTAAAAGATGTCCAAAACTATTTATATAAAAATTTAAATCAAGATGATCATTAATCTGTTGAAAATGTTACAGAAAAATCTCGAGAAAAAATGTCTAAATATCGTCTAAATGTCTAAAAAATCTAAATATCGTCTTATCAAAAAATTTAATTATAAAAAAAATTTATACATTTATTAAAAAAAAATTTTTTTTGTTGCTTTATATAAAGACTTTTATTAATGATCAATAAATATTTTCTCAAAACTTTTAAAATGTGACAACGCTGATTTTTCCACCGAGGTCTTTATATATATATATATATATATATATATATATATATATATATATATATATATATATATATATATATATATATATATATATATATATATATATATATATATATATATATATATATATATATATATATATATATATATATATATTTCTTCAACAAATTGTTTCTCCATCAGTATTTTCATCAGGAAGAAGCCACGTAAATAGTAAATAATGCTTTTATCTAACAACTGTCATTTAAACTTTTTTACATTATCGTCATTCAAAAGTTAATGTGGTTTTTTATAAAATTAATTACTTTATATCTTACTGCTCATAAAATAATCTAAAAGTTAAAAAATAATAAAAAGTCCCTTAATGGAAATCGCTCTAGACGTATGTAAAATTGCTAAGTGCATACATAAACTGCCAGCAGCTTAACGCTTTAAACAAGGCCTACTTCATAAACTTGTTGCAAGCGAAGATATTGAAAATATATATATAAATTTATATATATATATATATATATATATATATATATATATATATATATATATATATATATATATATATATATATAAAATTTTTTAAACTAATTTACTTCCAACAAGGTTTCAAGCAACCACTATTAAGTTTGGAGTTACTAGAAAATAAAGAATGGAAAGAGTTTAATTAATATTATTGCAGAAGTTTAAAAAAGTTTATGTAATAAATAAAAAAATAAAGAAAATTTATCATGCCAAATTCACATAAGGCTAATAAATTAGGCATTTTTTATTTAAAACAAGGCCAGATAATGACAACACTCTAAAATAATTATAAAGCAACTCACAAATTTATCTGACACTGTAAAGTACTTATATTATGGGATAAATTTTAACTTTTAACATTTTATAATATAAATATGGATAAATCATTTAATTTTTAAGAATTTTTAAATATCTATTTAAACTTAATAGTTTATAATAAACATTGTTTTTCTTACTGTCCATTTTTTTAGTAATAAAAAATAACAAAATGAATATATTTTTTACACGCAATCATAGAAAACAATTTAATCTATTACTTTGATAATAAAAAAATAAATTTTTCTAAAAGATTTTTAGACTTACAAAAATTGATCATCTTTCTCTTTGTGCATAATTCTTGAGAAGAATTGAAGAAGAGCAATCTTCCATGATGAATCAAATTGAACACGAGAAAAAATATTGATCATTTCTTTCAAAATTATTAATATATCAAAAGCTAGAAATGAAATTTTTTTTATTAAAATACTTTTTTCCGTAACTTTTGGTTAGTTTTTATTTAAACAACACCTAGAGTAATAAAAAAATAAAAAATACATTAAAGAAAAAATTACTAAATGCATTATAGAGAAAAATAAACGATTCTATTCAACCTAACACTTAATTTTCTTTGTGAAATTAACTTTCTTAAAATCTGGACGTTTTATTTTAGCGAGTGTTGGCATTTTAATTATTATATTTATATATATTTAAATAATTTATATACATATATATAATTTATATATATATATATATATATATATATATATATATATATATATATATATATATATATATATATATATATATAATATACATAAACTATAACTTATAAATAAAAATGTTGTATATTAAAATATACAAAAAAAAGTATATATTTTCATTGAATTTCAGCCATTTTTGACACAACACTCTCATAGAACTATAAACAGAAAAATACAAATTGCTTTATAAATTTTTTTGTTCCACGCATTTAAAATCAATCTTGTTTTTAATAATGTTCATTTTTTACTCACAATTAATCTCATCTTGTAACAAAAATTGTTTGTTATGTATTGCTGGGTTAATAACAAAAAACGTACCTACAAGTTGTCAAATGTTAGGAGAACAAAAAACAAATATTTTTTTTAATCAATTGGGCTTTTTTGCATATATATACATATATATATGTTTACATATATAAACATATATTTATATGTAAATATACATACATATATGTATATATGAATGTATACATATATATTACATATATATACAAATATATAAGGTTGTATATATTTGTGTATATATATATATATATATATATATATATATATATATATATATATATATATATATATATATATATATATATATATATATAGGCTTTGGCAGAAATGGCAGGCTATAGCCTGTGCCCAATTCTACACCTGTATAATTTCAACATTTAGGTGAAAGGACCTCAGAATGCTAAGATTCTGGTTAGTTTTACTTTGAAGTGTTGACAAAGTAATCCTGTTAGAATGCCAAAAAGGTTAAACTTTTTTGGGGTAGAACCATTTTCATATGTCTTTAAATAAATATTCAGGATATACATTTTTCAATAGAGATCTCAGAATGTCAGTTTAAATAATAGGTTGTAATGCTTCCAATTTTGATAAGAAAATCGAAAATTTCAGCATAAAAGCATTATTTTCCCAGCTGAGTATATTTTTAAATGTTTGGTTCACTTACCCATTTCAGATTTCATATGCCACTACAAAATGCTAGCTTAAGGAACCTCATAATGCTAGGTGAATAAAATAAAAGATAAATATATTCAATTTCTTCTCGATGTTATTAAATGAATATTTTGCCTACAGTTTACCTAGCTATAGTTCTTTAGTCAGTTTTCTTTGTTTGCTTTGAAAATTAAAGTGTGTTAACTAAAGAAAAGCGAGAGTATGTAAGTGTGTTTTGATATTTCTTTGGAGTTGTGAATAAATAAGAAATGCGAAAGTCTTTTAATTGTAGAGTTAAGTAACAAATCAAGATGTTAAAAGAAATGTCAAAGATATAAAAAAAAAGCAGTTAAAGAAAGCAGTTGAGTGGTGTCGAATCAGCAATAAACATGGTCGAGCCATGATTAATTTAGAAAAATTTACACAAGTTAAAGATCTAAAAACAGTTATTAAACAACTTGGTGTCATTAAAATCGAAAAGGAGAGGGAATATTGTTCAATTTTTACTAAAGATAAGGAAGAGTTGCTAGTTTTTTATACAAAAACATGAATAGGTACACATGATTGAGAAATAATGATCAAAAACTATTTTCTTATAAACTGTTTAAGTTAAAAGGAATAAAACAAGTTTAAGGCAGAGAGATATTGTTACTACTTGACTTTACAATCATGATGAAACCCCCAGTTTGTAAACTATGGAGTTGATGGTACTCCAAATAGTTTAGTTTGTGCTGGGAGAGGGGGAAATTTTTAAAAGATGACAAGAAAAAATAGGTAAATGCGTTATTATACATCTTTTTGTTTCTTTTTGAGGAGATATAGCAATGTGCCATATATTTAAGGGATTATTTGTTTCCATGGCTCCAAAAGAAGTAGTTAAAAGAACTCCAAATCTCCTAATCTATACAAATATCAGTGGCAGCCAAAATTAGAATAGACTTTTAAGTAATGCTTGACCACTATTTAGAAAAGAGCAATATAAAACGGCCTGTTGCTGTCCTATCTGATGGTCATTCTTCAAGATTTTGACACCCCCCAACCGAAAATTGGTTGGGGGGTGTTGAAGGCTTCAAAAATCATTTTTGAGGTCACATTTGGATTATGAACACTTTAACCAGCAAACTATTATCTACTTACTGCATTTTTAGGCCAAACCAGGTATTCATTTGATAAACACAAAATGATATATACCATTTAATTAATTGAAATTTACAATCAATTCTTATGATAATGTAAAACCTAACTATTTTCATAGCTAATAACAAATATAAATATTTTTTGTTCAGCTACAAAGTTGAAATAGATTGGGATTGATGTTCTAATTGGAAGACACAACACAGAGGATGTTTCTCCTTAACAACTCCTCAAAATATAACTCAAACTAAAGATTTTAGAAATTTTGTTTGACCTAAATACTAAAATAACATTTTTTTTTATTATTATTCATTTTATTTGATTATTTAAAAATGATAACATCATTTTAAAAGCTCTTTCATTTTAGGATGGACTTTTGAAAAAATTCAGAGCTTTATTTGCCCTATGTTTTTATGATTGATTCAAGAAGCTCTTATAATTTATGCTCTCAACTTCTATTTAATCCTCTGATACTTATTTGCATTCCAAAAATACACTTAAAAAAACTAATAAGAGTTTTAAATTGTTAAATTAAATAAAATAATAATTAATTAAATTTATTTCATTAAACTTACCTTCTTTGTCTGGTTGATTTTTTTCTGGACTTTTTGACTGTTTTGTTTTCAACAAAAAAACGCTCTCTACAAGAATAATAAGCTGGGAGACAAAATCATTTCCATTTATTTTTAGTTGAAGCGCATCCGTTATAAACAATCCTAATTTATTAATGCATTTTTCTTGTTGTTTAATATCAAGAACGCATTGAGATGATAGTAGCAAATTACATATTATTCGCGCAATTACAAAGTTAAACTCAATATAAAATTGTTTCAAAGGATCTGAACTGCTGTGATTATTCGTCATACTTCTGGAATTTTGCATCGGTAAGAAAAACAGCTGTACAAAATGAACATAAAACTCTCTAAATGTCCCAATGTTACTTTTAATAAAATCATCTCTATCTCTTTCATGAGTTGATAACCACAAAAGATTAAGAAGTGCATCTAAAGTATCAATAGTAGCTTTCATACCTGGTAAAAGTGATGATAAAGAATTTGAATCAATGAACCCAGATACTAGCTGACCAGGATCATACTCAACCCAGCAGTTTATAAGAACAGGTAAAACTATTGCAACTAAATGATAAATATTGTCAAATTCTTTTGATTTAGCTCCAATCCTTTCACCTCCATCATTATTTTCAAGCCAACTTTCAAAATCAGTATAAGCTATTTCAGGTATTTTGATTGTATATTTGCAAATGCGAATGTTAGTCTCAACAGTTTCTGAAACACAAACTGTCTCATCTATACAATCGCACTTTTCATTTTTTTTAAGCAAAGATTGTTGATAGGTTAGCATAACTTTGAGCATTTTGTATAACTTTTCTAAAATCTGTTCACGCCCTTTTACAGAAGACAACTTTCCACCTACAACTGTATTCATTTCTCTTCCTTTCGTTTTGACTTTCGTACCTCTAACACTTTGAGAGGCACTAGTTTGTTTTGACGATTGCTTTGAAATTAAGTCCATGAAATTGGTCAATACTTTTTTCCAGAACGGAATAAAAGCTTCTGGAAACTTAGTTAACAGAATATCTAGTATATTAAGTGAGTCTAATTGAACACCTTCATTTATATGTGTCATACCACAACAAATATAAGCAATCATGATTTTATAAAATGGAACTATTTCGTTCTCTTCAAAAATGTTCATTGCATATTTCACACAAATAAATAAAGAATGGCGAACAACTGAGTCAGTGTCAGAAAGTCTTTCAAATACCTATGTGTAAAAAAAAAAAAAAAATTAACAATAATAATTTTAAATAGTAAAACATTATCTTAGATATAATACTTAACATACCAGGCTTTCACAGGAAGACGTGCAATTTCACGTCTTTATATGACCACGCAAGTTACATTTTGCTATGACAGTTTGACCGCGGCTAATTCAAAAAACATTTTAGAAACGCGCTAAATAAAAAATATTCTAAAAAAGTGAAATTAATTACATCAAAACTTTTTAACAAATATTTTTATATTAGCGAAACAATTTTAAATAAAGTAACAATTTACTGAAAAAAAGTTTTGTTTTTTAAATATAATTGACAGTTGTACATATTTTTTTTAATTTAAAACATTTAAATTGTTTAAGTGTTCATTTCTAAAATAAATCTTATTAAAAAATAAAAAATTGTTTTGTTTTTATAAACGATGACATTCTACGACTACGAAAGTCTCTTTAACGAATTTGAATATAAGAATGATTAAAGTTAATGCATTTAAAAAGATAAACAAAATTTCGTTAAAAAAAAAAGTTTTAGAAAACTGTTACAATTTAATAAGTTTGATCTTAAATGCTTTTATATTATCGAAGCGCTTTTAATGAAGTAAAAAAAAAACACTTCTAATTAATTAAAAAAAAAGTATTTATAAAATGTTTTTTTATTTTATTTATATAACTAGGCATTTTTTATGAGAAATATTTAACTTCTGAACATATTAAACAAATAAAAAATATATAAAAATGTTGAAACAAAGATTGAAAAGGTTTTTTACTGCGTAAATTAAATAGACTAAGCATTTTAGTTTGATGAGTTTTGTTTTAGTTGCGCTATATATATATATATATATTTATTTTTTTGTGTTTTTGCTTTAACTAATTATTTTTTTTTAATTTTCTCTTTCGTTATTATTTATTATTTTTTAAATTTTTTGTACAGATAAGTTTAGGTAAGTTTTTGTAGCGCGTTTTTAAATTTTAAAAATATGCCGTGGTCAAATCATTAAAACATTTTTTTTTTTCGTGCTCATATAAAGACATGAAATCGCACATCTTCCTGTGAAAGCCTGCATACTGTCTATAAATATATATTACTTTCAACATGTGTGTGTACATATATATATATATATATATATATATATATATATATATATATATATATATATATATATATATATATATATATATATATATATATATATACACATGTTGAAAGTAATATACTATACTGTCAAAGTATATATGGGAATTAAAAGATAAAAATATTGATGATTTTATAATGAATTGGTCCATCCTTAAAACAGCACCTGCATATAACAATATTTCCAAAAAAATACATACTATGCCTACAAGAAAAATTTGAAATTATTACACATGCAAACCAAGAATGTTTATTAAACAAAAAATCAGAATTAATTTCTAAATGCAGACACTAAAAAAAGTTTCTCCTAAAAAACTATAAAAATAAGTGAGCTCAAATAGTAATTAAATTAAATCTTTTAAACCCCTTTTAAAAAATATTTAAAAAAAAAAGCAGAAGTAATTAATTCTAAAGAATTCATTTTATAATAGTGCCAGCATATTCCACAAATGTGTGAAAATTTACAGTAGTTATGACATTTGCGACTTCCTGTAATTTAATTTTTTGGTATAAATTGAAGTTTTATTAACTTGATCATTCATTTCTGATGAGTCTTTATTAATGAAACATAGTGTTAAATGAAAAATATTTTTGTTAAGTGATTTTCTGCTACTTTATATATATATATATATATATATATATATATATATTATATATATATATATATATATATATATATATATATATATATATATACACACACAGAGTGTTAGCCAGGAAAAAAATTCATTCAGCGTTTTTGCAAAATTGGGAAATTAGGTGCAAAAAAAAAAAAAAAAAGATCATTACATTCTGACATTTTTATTTTTTACATACAATTAAATTTTAATTAAAATAACTTTCTTTTTTAGCTGGGTTATATTCATAGCAGAAATATTTTTCTACTTTATAAATGTTTAATCCTAATTATTCAATTTGTTTCATTTTGAGCAACCATTTTTAAATCGCTTCTCTTCTTTGTTCAATATAGTACAACGAAAACAAGAACAAAAGACAATTGTTTGCAGTTTTAATAAATGAATTAAATTTATTCATTGAAACTATTTTAATTGCATACATCACTTTTAAATACAGTTTTGAAAGGTTTAAACAATTAATTATTTATATTGTCTTCTTTTATTTTTATTTTCATTTTTAAACTAGAAATGTAAAAAAAAAATGCTAAATAGTACTTTCCACGATCCTCTCGTTACTTTTCAAATTGCTAATACAACTCTTTAATTGATGACTGTTGGTAAAAACACTAAACATTATGTAGGATTGCCAGAATTTATGAAGGAAAACACAACAAAAAAATTTTTTTTTTACAGATTTGTATTCTATTCCGTAAAGACCAAACATTTGGCAACTCCAATGTTTTAAAAAACGGCGCCTTAAGGCTGAGGTGTGCGCTTTTTTAAACCTTGACTATAGTCAAGGTAAAAAAAACCTTGCAAAAAGCGCAAGTCTCACCGCCTTGAGGCGATGCTAAAAAAATGATTTACATAACCACACTTTGTATATACATGTAAATTATCATCTTTTATGTTTTATACATATATAACATAGATAATACGTTTCATTGCAAATTTTACTTTTGATTTTTTTGTTGTTGTTATTTTCGGTTTACTTAACCGAAAGTATTAATAAATATAATAAAAACGTTATTAACTCATTTTAAAGTATGATATTTATTACAATGCAAACTGCTTTGTAACTTTCCTAACGTAAGATAAACAGAAAAAATGTAAATAAAGTGTTTTTAAATAATAAAAATAAATTAATAAAATAATTTATTAAACATATTGAAAAATCTTAACTAGAGATGTCAATGAAAATTAAATTAAAAAAAAGTTTTTTTCAACTTTTGAAAGAATGATCTTGTTAATGTTAATGACGCTTGTTAATGACGACACATAAAAAAAAAATTGATCAACATAATTCATTTCCTCGTCGTGCATACTAATTGCTTTTTTTAATTGTCTAGTGTGACACTTTAAATCTGAAACTGATTTAATTATTTTTTTTTTTTAATATAATCTTATGAACTTTTGGGAATTTTAAACCAATTGGAAATACTGCGTTATACGCGGTGTCATCAGGCTGGCTAACACCCTGACATATATATATATATATATATATATATATATATATATATATATATATATATATATATATATATATATATATATATATAATATATATATATATATATATATATATATATATATATATATATATATATATATATATATACAGGGCTCAATTTAACGGTCGGACATTGGACATTGTCCGCCTAAAACCTCAAATTGTCCAATCAATTTACAAAGTAATCGGACATTTTGACCAAAAGGAATTAAATTCTACAAAATAAATACTTTAGCATATATATAAAAATTAAAAAAAAAGTAAATTAAAAATAACTTAAAAGCTTTAAAATAAAACTCTGTTAAAACAACCTTTTGTTACGTTTTTAATTGCGTTTGAAAAAAATTACTTCAAAACTTATCTTTATTAAAGTTACGCAAAACACTTTTACAAATTACTTTTGATTGTTTAATAAATAAACAAATTTTATTTAAATTATTGAAACGTGAAATTAAATTATTGAAAAGAAAAAAATATAATATTTTTAAGTTGTTTAATCATTTTTTACAAAAAATTGCAAAAAAAAAAAAAATTGTTTAAAAACAACGTTGTCATTTTAAAATTGAAATTTTTAACCATTTCATTCTTTGATTAGAAGTCAAGTTAAAAAATTCTTTGTAAAAATAGAAACAAAAAAAAAGCAATTAAATCTTTGGAAGATTTAATTTAACATATTCATAATTTAAAGTAACTTGAAAATAATATTCTTTTAATAAAAGTTTTTTAGAAAGACTTTTTATGATAAATTTAAATGTTTGAAACTATTTTAAAAATAGTTTCGAACGTTTAAATTTATTATGAAAAATACATACCTATTAAAAAAAAATTAAATGTAACATTTAATTTACACATAATGCTTTTATTTTAAACTACAATTTTTGATTTTATTTAAAGTTTTTAAGTTTTGATTTTGTTTAAAGTTTTTTAAAGTTTTTAAACTTTAAAAAAGATTGATTAAAAGTTATTTGTAATGTAACGATTTTTTTTATTGCATTTAAATAGTTAAAACATAAAAAAAGCTGTTGTCAAATTGTAAAGAATAATAATAAAAAAAAGCGTTGTCAGTTACAGCATGCAAATTTCAAGTCTATCTAAAAAAACATGCAATATTAAATTGCAATATTAACTATTTATTAAAAAAAAATCTGCGATAAAGTATTTTGAAAAACTAACGTCAAATAAACTTAATAACATGACAAAGATTTCAATTGCATAACTTGGTTCCGTAAAACCGTAAAAATTTTATTTAAAAAATTTGATTGGACATTGTCCGACCCAAACAAGTTTTGATCAGACATTTTGTCCGGGACTTTTAAAAAAATTAAATTGAGCCTTGTATATAAATGTGTATATAAAAATATATATTATACATATATGTATATATATATATATATATATATATATATATATATATATACATATATATATATATATATATATATATATATATATATATATATATATATATATATATATATATATATATATATATATATATATATATATATATATGTATATATATATATATATAAAACAGAACAAGAGTTTTTTTATTATTTCAATATAAAACTATTTCAAGCGATATATATATATAAACAGCCCTTGGAATTGGAAAAAATGAGGTCAGCAATATTTTGATTTCAGATCAGCAAAAAAATTTGATACAAACATTTTACCATTAAGTATAGAAACGAGGTCGGTGAATTTTTGCCGACCTTAAACACTTTGAGGTTGGTAGTAAGGCAAATATATATATATTTTATTTGAACTAAAACTACCCACTAAATTAAATTATCGATTCAAAATAAAAACATTTATATTCTGGTTTACATAAGTTTAGATATATAAAGTCATATATTACACACTAATTTATCTTTAGTCCTAAAAATTTTAAACTGTACCTTAGGTATCCAAACACTCAACTGTTCATGCATAACCTTAGGATGAGATTGAAACAAGTCAAGCATTCCCAGCATAGCTTCATGTCTAATCGTAGCATTATAATGGTTTACTTGATTGAGTAAATCCTTAAAAAAATCATAGCATAAATATATATTGTAATAAAATTAAAATTTAAAATTGAAATTAAAAAAAAAAAGGTTGCTAATAACTTTTAATCTCTTTTTTATCTTCAAAATACTTTATAAAAAAGAAATTTTAAAGGTTAAAAAAAAAATTAGAAATTTTTTTTAAGCTAATAAAAATATAGAATTTACTTTCTTTGCTTTTTTTTGATGGTTGCAGTAGGTAAATAATAAAAAATTCCATTAGTTAAAAACCAGTTGGAATTATAAAAAATAAGATCAGCAAAAAATTGCAAAATAAAAACTTCTATAGGTTGGCATTAAATTTAGAAATAGGGTTAGACGGATAGACAAACGTGGGAACATATAGTTAAAATTCAAAGAAATTTTTTCACTATTTTATTAGGAATTTATATAAAACATTAAACTTGTGGATTTCATTTTTAATATTTTATTTAGAATTAATAAAATGGTTGTATTTTCTTTTTTTTTTTACATTAATTGTTTTGCTTACAATTCAAATAAATAGTTTGTCATTAGAATTAAGATAAAATGTTTTTGTCATTTTTATTTTTATTATTTTGTTAAGAATTTAAATAAAATATTAGTTTTTCAGTTGTATTTTTGTAATATTTTATTTTGTAGTTAAATAAAATGTTTATTCTTTCGTTTTTATTTTAATTATTTTATTTAAAATTTAACTTTTAAATTTTTAATTTAAAATTTCAATAAGACGTTTGTTTTGCTGTTTTTATTTTAATTATTTTGGTTAGAATTTAAATAAAACATTATTTTTTCCATTTTTATTTAAATTATTTAGAATTATATTTTTATTTTAATTATTTAGAATTGTAAAGAGTTCTTTACTTGATTTTTATTATAAATTGTTTAATTTAGAATTTAAATAAAACTTTTGTTTGGCTTTTATTTTTAATTTTAATAAAGCATTCACTTTGTTGTTTTTAAGTTATTTAAAATAACAAATAAAACTAAGTTTTAAAATTCTGAGGTCATTAAAAAATTTTGACCTCAGGAACTCTCAGATAAGCAGTTAGATCTCCATTGCTGAATGCTGATCCTAATTCCAAGGGCTGGTTAAAAACTTATATAATTTCTAAAATGCTTCAATAGAATTTTATTGCTTAGTGCTATACACTGTGAAACAACACAAAATTAATTTTAAAAAACTTTTTGATTAATTAAGATTCAAGAAAAGTTCATCTTTTTTTTATTGTATCCTCATTCAGCTGAATTTTGATACAGCTTATATTTTTATAAGCGCATAATTATAGTTTAAACCTTTATTTTGGTTTTTATCTTTACTAAAACACAGACAACTGCATTTTTTTTTTTTTTAGTTTTTTTTTATCCATTAATTTAACTATAAAATTATAAATTTATTTATAATTTTACAAAACCAGTTTTGGTATCACTCATATAGTTAAAAACTAGTCATCAGAGTGACACTTTAATAAAAACAAGTCAATAAAATTGGAACAAAATTATTTAAAAAAGAAAGAATAACAGAAAAAAAGAGAAAAAGGGAATGAGATGACATGAGAGTTAATTAGGGATTGTAATCCCAGTCACTTTTCTATCTCGCTGGATCAGTGCATAATATGTAAATTCCTGTACAATTAGTAGCATAATTAGTAGAGTTTGATTTCTTATACACATTATAAGTGATAATTGTACTTATCTTTCAAATATTTCAGAATAACAAGCTCAAAAATCAATAGTTTTAAAATATGTATGAGGGTGTGATAAATAAAAATTTGCAAATCCATATAATTTAAAACTTTAAATGAACAAAAATGTAAAATCAAAATACAATTAACATAAACCTAACTTATGTGATCTTAATAAACAGACATTACTCAAAGTATTATCTCCTAATCTACTTTTCAAAGGACTGCATATATAACTAGCAGCTGAAAAGGCTTGCTCTGCCTCTACGCTTGTTGGCAATTTTTTCATTAAGTAATTATGTTATATCTAGAATATTGCCTATTACTCCGTTATTTTCATTTCCTTCTTCAATAATTTCTTAAAGTTAAAAAAATCAATATTCGGCATCTTCTTTACATTTTCTGCCCAGTTTTTCTTCTTTTTCTTCGTATTTGATTTCTTAATTCTTCTTTCAGCAATGGAATAGTAGGACTAAGTTATTGAGAATCCTCAACAGATTCTTCATCTTCATTTTCCTTAATTGTATAAACCCTTGTTTTTCTATTTTTTGATGAATAACAGTTTTCTTTGGTATTGAAAATTTATTTTGATTTTTTTTAATTTCTTTTTTGTATATTTTAGAATTTTGTAATTAAATTGGTAGACAAGTTAAATTATTATTACAATGTTGTGTAAATCTCTAATGCATTGGATCATCTAAATCAATTCTAAAAACTCAATACTGCTAATCTAACTTATCTTAAATAAATCGAAAAGGTGTTTCCCCAGTGATGAGACTTGATTCTTTTCTGCATAATACTTCAAGATCAAGTGATTTTAGCTAATTCATTTTTTTCAGCACTGCAAAACAAAGAATTAAATCATTGATTTGAAACTTTTATTGTTAAACGTATTTCTGATGCAATGTCAATTAGAGCTTTTTGGATACATAACTTTAGTTTTTAAAATTATGCAACATATCAAACAGACTGTTTCACCTTGTTTGACAATTAAAAATCAAATTTAACTTTTTGCCTTGTTCTTGTAGGATATACTATTCAGTGAAGAACCCAGAAGTGTTTTAGTACCGTTGGACCAGTATGGGCGCTCAAAAATTATTTTAATTTTTTTATTTCATTTTGGCTTTTTTATAAAAAATAGAAAAAAACTCAAGTTTTTAATGCAGTATTATATAAATAATTTTCAGTTTATTTTAGCTAATTCATTTTTTTTATAGTTATGTAAAAAAGTTTTTACATAACTGTAAAAACTTTTTTACATAAATCAACGTAATTTGCCTTTGGTTACTAAGTGACATAACTATCGCGCGAGTTTAATTTTTGAATGATTGAACATTAGGGTACATCATACTTTTCAAATTTTTGATTTTGAATTTGGCTGATGATTTTAATGGTGCCACTATATGTAAAAATGAACTTCCGAAAAAAAATTAAAAAAAAATTTTACCTAGGGATTGCAGTTTTTGAAAAGGTAAAACTGTTCATTGATGCATAAATGCAAGGGGAGTCAAAATTTTAAAATCATTGAAATATTTAGATTTTTTTTTATATATTATATGCTGTGAAACGTGAATTATTTTTTTTTTCTAAAAAAAATTACTTTTTGCAGGGATTTCAGATTGAAAAAAAATGTTAAAATATAAAATATAATATTAAATTTTTTAAATAATAAGGACATTCATTGGAATTTTTTTATTAGAAAATTTCAGTCTTTATTTTTATGAATGACGTCTATATAATTCAGACAAAATGACAAAAATTAAAAGTTATTATAATTAATAATTAAAAATAATTATAATTAATAATTAAAAATCTTAATAATGATGTTGTTATTTTACTTGGGGTTTGAATTGTAAGTGATTTCAGACTATTACGACTTTGTAATTATTATTTTATAAGTTTTTTGTGGTTTAAAAACTGTATAAAAAGAGCTCTTGTTTTTATTTGCAATCATATAAATTAAAATTCTAATAATTATATTAAATTAACTATAACTACTTCAAAAAACACAATACTCTCTATGGAAACAAAGTTATCAACATATTTAAGCAGAAGTAAGGATCTTATTCCGTTAGAAGTGCCAACTTTAAGAGATATTTTGAGAAAAGGTCTGCTTATCCAAGAAGCTCTACTTCAAGATGTTAACAGATGATAATAAAGAAACTCAAAATTTATGAAACAAATTATACATTTTACATTATATTATATATTTTTGTTTTTTGAAGGAATATTTTAGTGAGAGACCTTTCTTGACTACTAGCTGATATTGTTTTTCAGCAGTGGATGAAAGCAAATGCTCTTTTTAAACCTCCAGTGGTTATTGGAAAGAAAACTTTGATGGAGAAAATTGAATTTTCCTGGAACAAGATAAAAGATATAGCACATGGGAAAGCTTCTCAGACACACGTGTCTTTTTGGGAATCAAAACTGGATCAATTGCTAGATATAACATGTTGCAAGTGTGAAATTATGTCATGTAACGAGTTGTGTTTGAAAACTTATTATTGCGTTGATCAAGTACATATTAAATTGTACTTGTGTGAAAGAGAAAAAAATTATAAAGGTTGAACTTCCATGGCTTAATACCCAAAGGGAAAAAAAAGAATCTATTTCAAAATACCAGATGGGTTTCAATGATATTAAAGAGACCGCAAGAGGAGAAAAAAATGAAGAGGAAGTCTGGAGTAGAGAAAAAATTAGAATTGGAAAAAAAATATAAGGTAGAAAATGACAATGTTGTTGAATGTTTAATTGAGGATTATTCAGATTTTAAAAAGGAAAAGATTTCAGAAGATCCGCTTCAAAACAAGATTTGGAAAAAAACTATATGTCAATAAGTCATCCTGCAGAAGTTTCAATAAGATATGATATTTCACCAGCAGCAACATCAGCTATTGTTACATCCTTTCTTCCTTATTGAAGGAAGAAAGGATGACCTTATTGAAGCGAATGAAAGTAAGAAGAGCAAGGGAAGAAATGTGCGAAGAAAAGTTAATCGACGAAGAACCTTTTAGAGGTTTGTTTATTGATGGCAGGAAGGACTCAACTTTAGTGTTGGAACAGAATCCTCTAACAAATAAATTTCACATGAGGACTATCAAAGAAGAGTATATAACTGTGACCTGTTAGCCTGATGGAAGATACCTCACTCATTACACAATTCATGAGTCCTTAGAGGTCGTAGGTGGAGATTCTACAAACTCCATGACAGGTTCAGGAAAAGATGGAGGTTTGCTGTCAAATCTGGAACAATTAGTAGGGAGAAAATTATTTTGATCTATTTGTATGCTCTATTGTAATGAATTACCATTGAGG